TTTTTTTCGTTCAATTTTTTTTTTTTTTTTTTTTTGGTTGTTGGTTTGATGGTTCATAGTTAATATATATATATATATACTCTTAAAATCTTACGCCTTATAAATACAATTACAGGCGCAAAAAATATTCTGAACGATTCAATTTTGAGCTGACTTAGATACCACTTTAATGTGACTCAAAATTCGTTATATTCAATTTTAAATCTACAAAATCGATCTATTTGGATATGTTCCTGCTTGTAAATCAAAATAAGTCGGCTCATTCCAAACGGGCCAGCTTATAATAAATAAATTCAAATAAATTATAAAAAAATAAAAATTTCTCTCTCTTGCTCATTCCAAGTTTTGATTGAGCTCGAAATTGACTCGAAAAAAAATTAATTCATCATCACAACTTATAGATCGGCTCACATAGCTCAACCCAATCCATATCGGATCCGAAATTCAAATTAATTTTCAAACATCGAAAATCTTTGAATTAAATTACCCACCCTACTTTTACATAACTAACATAAGGGTCTATTTGGGGCAGCAGTGTTGTGACGATGCAGCAGCGTACGTAATTTTATCTGTTTGAATAAAATGAATTTTGAGAACTTTTTCAAAACATCTGCTATTGAGATAAACACTTTCTCACCGATTCTGATTAGATGCACTGACAGTTATCTAGTTAAAGCTCGACTTTAAAAAAAAATCATAATAATCACCACAAATTTTTATAATCTTAAATTATTTTCCGACAGCTTCACAACTACTTATTAAGAGCTCTGCTCTAATCAGCTCTGCTCTAATCAGCACATATATTTATCAAAATTATTGAACACATAGCCTGAAAATGGACTTTTGAATGCTAATACAAACATTCAAAACATCGGACAGCATTACCTTAATAGATAGATAATTAAACACCTCCTTATTTCAAACCATCCCCTGTTTCTACAAACAGCGGTACACACTCCCGCTTCCAACGCACAGCGAAATAGCACAAGCATATCATCAACAACAAAACAAGCAAAGAACAGCAGAGATTCAAGACACAAACCAGCTTCTTCCTCTATCCAGAAATCTCAATCGACTTCACCTCAGGCTTCTTCGCCACCTCCTTAGGCACGACGACACTAAGCACGCCATTCTCCATCGACGCCTTCACCTGATCCACCTTCGCGTTCTCCGGCAATCGGAATCGGCGGAGGAACTTACCGCTGCTGCGCTCGATTCGATGCCAGCGATCGTTCTTCTCTTCCTGCTCCTTCTTCCTCTCGCCGCTGATCTGAAGCACGCCGCCTTCCACGACCTCCACCTTAACCTCCTCCTTCTTGACACCCGGCATATCGGCCTTGAAGATGTGAGCCTCCGGGGTCTCATTCCAGTCGATGCGTGTGTTGGCGAAAGCCGAAACCTCGGTGGCGTAATTGGAACCCGGTGCGGAGAGCGCGTTCTCGAAGATGGTGTTGAAACTCTCGAATGGGTTCCAGATGTCGAAGGAGAAGGGATCGAAGACGTTGCTCCGGGGAATGATCGACATCGTAGTGAATAGAATGGGGGAATTGAGAATTGAAAACTGCAATTAACTCGAATTTGATTGAGATGGGGGGGAGGCGCGGGATCAGAATTTATAGAAGGGGAGAGAAGAGGATTGCGCCTTCTCGAGCAATCTTTCATCTTCTAGGTTTTGGTGGAAACAATCGGTCCTCGACTTTCCAGCTTCGAGTTTCTTCCAGGCGTGGTAGGATTCGCAATGGGGTTTATGGGCTGGTGTGGAGCATTTAAAGGTGGGTTTAGGCTGTTTTAAATTAAATTAATTTTAAGGAAATTTTAAGCAGACATTCATAATTAGATTTAATGACAGAATCAGAGGAGCGGCAGTGATTAGCATAGGGCTGTGTGGATTTAGCACGAATTCGAGAATTGATTTAAATTTTAGCTTGGACTGGGTCGGATCCAGATAAATGAGATCAGCTACTAGTTAAAAAAGGATTGTTTGGGGTAACTTATAAATGCAGGCGTTGTTTTCAAAACATTACATCACCGTTTAAAAAACATGTTTTAGCAGCTTATCCGAAAAAACGGTTGGATTTTTACACTAAACACAAGCCGCGGGTCGAACCCCATGGGCCAATCGCGAGCCTCGTTTCAAGATAAGCTGAGCGGCATTTTCAAAACACAGTTTCAAGATAATTTTTAGCCAACCTCAACTAAGCTCAAAATCAGATTGCTAACAGTTATGGTGGTGTTAGGGTTTTGAATTTAGGAAATTTAGCCCTAAGATCGTTAGTCGCTCGAAAATTTATTCAAGTTTTGGCTCGGATTGAAATAAATAAGTTGAGCTGCGAGCCAAACTTTTAGATCAAACTTTTTCAAGTTGATTTTGAATTGACCTCAACTTGACTCAAAATTAGATCATTAATAGACTGAGATTAGCATAGATGTGAAATTATATATATATACATACATGCATGCATATGCGCCGCATTTTTAGTCGGTAGCGGTGTAAGTCCCCTTGGTCTAGGTTTTGAATCTCGCCTCTGCGACTGTTGCTTTGAAAAGGGGTACTCAAATATTTAGATGCATGGGTCGTATTAAGGCCTAACGGGAGTTAAGGTTTTGACTATATTGAATGTTTTAAGAACAACAAAGTTTCTTTCTAGATATTTGCAATTAATATTGTGAATCCAGGAGATTTATTTTATTTGCAATAAAAGGATGAGAAATTGAGATGAAATTATACTTAGTAGAATCACCGGAAAGCCATAATGAATGCCATAGTGAGAAGGATGCTGCCATGCCATCTCGAAATGAGAAGTGATATACTAGTTTTTTATTTACCTTTTTTTTTTTTTTTCTTTTTGGTGCAATTGGTGCCCACCATTCAGGAAGTGGGAAACTTAGTATAAGTTGCTCTATCATCCCATGTGTCTCCAAAATCCACTTGATTGGGCTCACATCATATTGCAATTTGGATTAGATGATTTTTATGAAGATCTACATGCATGTCATTTAAATCACTATATATTTACATATCTAACACCTACATTTCCATTTTTAAATGTGCATCGTCTTATCTATG